TCCAATATTTATCCCACTGCTATTGAACCTGTATTCAATGCTGTCTGGATCTGTAGAAATACTGTTTGCATGCATGAAAATTGTGCAACATTATTACAATTTTCATTTTAATATATTGTAAAATGTAATTTATTCCTGTGATGCAAAGCTGAATTTTCAGCATCATTCCTCCAGTCTTCAGTGTCACATGATCTTCAGAAATCATTCTAATATGCTGATTTGCTGCTCAAGAAACATTTCTGATTATTATCAATGTTGAAAACAGTTGTGCTGCTTCATATTTTTGTGGAAACTGTGATACTTTTTTTCAGGATTCTTTGGCATAACATGCACTAGTGAATTGTGCACAATAAGACCAGAAACATGTTTTAAGAAAGTAAACAGCATCAATTTATGTTTTGTTTCTCCTCATCAGGTTGTTTGCAGCCAAATGCAGTGGCTGTCTGGAGAAGATCGCTCCCACTGAGTTTGTGATGCGCGCACTAGAAAGTGTGTATCATCTAGGCTGCTTCTGCTGCTGTGTGTGCGAGCGACAGCTGTGTAAAGGAGACGAGTTCGTCCTGAAGGAAGGACAACTGCTGTGCAAGAACGACTACGAGAAGGAGAAGGACTTACTGCACGCGGTCAGCCCGGACATGTCTGACTCCGGTGAGAACAACGCTTTCCTTTCCTCTCGTCTCGTATGCTCTCCATGGAAAGGTGATATTAAAAAGCTTGTTTCTGTAGACAAAAGTGAGGATGAAGATCTGGACTTGAAGCCGGAGAAAGGAGCAGGAGGTCAGAGCAAAGGAGCCGATGACGGCAAAGACCCACGCAGACCCAAGAGACCTCGCACCATCCTCACCACCCTGCAGCGGCGCGCGTTCAAGGCCTCCTTTGAGGTGTCATCCAAACCATGCCGAAAGGTGAGAGCATCCTTCAGAAGATTTCTAGAGGGAATACAACCAAATGAACCCATTTCAGTTTTTGAATGTGCAACCTGTGCTTACTGTAGAGGCACAGGTTCCAGTATTATACTAATCCATTATTATACAGCAGTCTATGGACTATCTGATGCGCATTGCATGTAAAAATGGCAAAAAAAATAATGGACCATCTGATGCATATTGCATCTAAAATTGGCAAAAACTATGAACAATCTGATGCATATTGCATGCAGTATAAAAATTGCACAAACTACATGGATCATCTAATGCTTATTGCATGTAAAAATGGCAACAACTATGGATCTTCTGAGGTGTATTGCATGTAAAAATAACAACTATATGGAGCATCTAATGCATACTGCATCTAAAATTGGCAAAAACCTATGGACCACATTATGCATTTAGCATGGAAATATGGCTAAAACTATGGATCTTCTGATGCATATTGGATGTAAAATTGGCAAAAACTGTGAACCATCTGATGTGTATTGCATGTAAAAATTGCAAAAACTCATGAGTTGTAAAAAATGTAAATGTAAAAATGTACAAAAAATGGCAAGCACTTCATGCCAGTGGTCAAATGTCTGGGTATGTGAGAGTACTTCAGATGAAGTAATATGTTCCTGTTATTTCAGGTCAGAGAGACGTTGGCAGCTGAAACCGGTCTAAGTGTTAGAGTCGTTCAGGTGTGGTTTCAGAACCAAAGAGCAAAGGTGAGCATGTTCAGCGATCTTAACTGAGCCTAAGTCAGGGGTTTTCAGTTCTTTAGATGCCATGGATGGCCAAATATCATTATAGGAATGCACATCCTAAAATGTAAAAGGCAGCTATATATATATATACAGCTATATAAGACCCTATTTATACTGTGAAAAATAATATTATAAATATTTGTGTAGTTAGTGTTTATATATATATATATATATATTTAATTTATATAAATATATTCAAATTATATATTTATTTTAATCAAATGTATTTATTTAAACTTATTTTTATTATTTATTTATTTTTACGTTTGCTAAACATTTTTCTGAGTGCAGGATTATTATTAACTAACTATAAAATTATTAAAACATTTTTGGAAATTGAAATAAAGCTGAAATCAAAGTATATAATTTATTGTTTGTTTGTTAAATTCTTGAAAACTGCTAACCAGAATCGATTTTTAATGTATTATGAATATTATTACATATAATAATGTCATTATACATATTAAAAATATATTTTTCTCATGTATGCAATTTCTTTTAATGGCATATTAAATATGTCTGCCTTTGAATACTCACCAAATAGTGGTATTTATTGGTTGATATTAAGGAACTGATAACCATTTAAGTAAAAATGAAAATTATTTTATTTGGGGTCATTATGATTTTTTTTTTTGATAAATTAATATGTTTATTGATAATCAGGGTCTTTGGAAGAAGGGAAATAAAAGAATAATTCGTGTAATTTTTCTTTCTTGGAGAAAATCAACAGCAGTACAGAGTATGAAAAGACAATGCAGAAAAGCTGAGCGGATGTGGCGGAAGACGAAACTTGAAATTCACTATAGCATCTATAAAGACAGCCTTCATGCTTTCAATGTGGAACTAACTACAGCTAGACAGTTTCTTCTCAAAACTTATAACTAGGCAAAGCTAGACAGTCATTCTTCTCAAACCTTATAAACAGTAACTTAAACAACACTCGCACTCTTTTTGCTACTGTTGAGAGACTGACAAACACCCCAAGTCAGATTGCCAGTGAAATGCTCTCCGACAGCAAATGCAATTTTTTTTTTTGAGTTTGCTTCCTTCTTATCTGAGAAGATCATTAATATCAGGAAGGCGATTAGCACATCCTCAAGTTATGCAGAGGTCAGACAGATTCGACCGCAGTATCAAAAAGAAGATACTATGTCTATTTTTAAAGCAATTGGTAGCAAAATTTTGGAAGAAATAGTGCAGCACCTAAAATCTGTGCAGTCAACCTGCTATCTTGACACACTTCCCACATCTTTTTTCAAAAGGGTGCAACATTAGTCACATTTAAATCTAGACTCAAAACTCATCTGTTTAGCTGTGCATTTATTGAATGAGCACTGTGCGATGTCCGAATTCATTTTAAATCAATTTTTAAATCATTTTCAAAGTTTTTAATTTCCTTGTTTTATTTTTGTGATTATTTTTTATGATTATTTTACTTTCTTTTATGTAAAGCACTTTGAATTACCATTGTACGAAATGTGCTATATAAATAAACTTGCCTTGCCTTGCCTCCAAATTAGCAGTAGATGTACATTTCTTATGATGTGGGAACGATTGATAACTTTCTATATTCAAACATTCTTAGCGATTTTAAGTAAATATTGTGTAAAATGTTATGTTTGATGTTATTTTATCACATTAAGATCAAGCTTGGGGTCTGTATTATTTGCTTTTAAAGAAATTAATTATTTTATTTGGAAAGAATGCATTAAATTGATCGAAAGTGACAGTAAAGACATTTATAATTTTACAAAAGATTTCCATTTCAAATCATATATATATATATATATATATATATCAAAGAATCCTGGAAAAATTGTTATGTTAAAAATATGATGGTGCACAACTGTTTTCGACATTGAAAAGAAATGTTTCCAAAACCAGCATATAATGAATTCTGTATGATTTCTGAAGCTGCTGAAAATTCAACATTGCTTCACGGGAATAAATTACATTTTAAAATATATTCAAATAGCAAACAGCTATTTTAAATGGTAATAATATTTCACAATATTACTGTTTTTGCTGTATTTTTGATCAAATAAATGCAGCTTTGGTGAGCAGAAGAGATGTCTTTCAAAAAATGTAAAAATCGTACCGAGCCCAAACTTTTGAACAACAAACACCACTCATATTTTCTTTAAAAATGCTGTTTCGTGTGACTTTTTCAGTACCTAGACCTCATTTTGTTGTCCTTCTTCAGGAAATGACTCGATTTTCCACGACATTGACAGCGACACGTCTCTGACCAGTCTGAGCGACTGCTTCATGGCTGCGTCAGAAGCCGGATCCCTTCAGACCCGCGTGGGAAACCCCATCGACCGCCTCTATTCCATGCAGAGCTCGTACTTCGCCTCCTGAAAGCAAATCCTGAGACTAAACACCCACAAAAACTACCTAATATCCATGTCTGCAATGCCAGCCTCACGTACGCCAGCAAACCTCCAGTATAAGGCCAACTTGAATCTCGAGGCTGTAAGGACAAGAAAACCAAACCAAACTACTCACGTTACAGATGAAACCAGATCTTGGCTTTGTGCTGTAGAAGACATGCTGAGGAGGTCTTGAATCGAACCAGGTTCAAAGATGTGCTGGTCAAGCGTATGTGAAGATGGGATGAGAAGGTTTTCATCTAGACTTTGTAGAAAAAAATCTTAACCAAACATTTCTAGAGGAGCTGCAGGACATTTACTGCAGCATATTGAACCTACAAAACAAGTTTAGACCGTAAATAGACAAATGCAATACATGCAAAAAGTTGAAAACTGCATACAGTACAACAATGTTGTTGTTGAATATGGATTTCAAATGTTTTGAAATAAACTCAAGCCGAAACAGCTGTGTGTTGATAAAGACGACTAGCTATTTATTACGTACATGTGCCAAGTAAACCTGCAAAGCTTTATTTAAAACAAACTGTGTTATAGTAAGAACCATAAACATTTTTATGTAAGTCCCTGGAAGAGAGTGTAGTATTACTGTTGATGTTTAAAGATGTATATGTTTATTTCGCTGTGCTATTTATTTGTCATTTGCATTTTTGGATGTTGCAGAATGATGCATTTTTGCTCAAACTTGCTAAATTTACCAAAGTTTGTTGGTACTAAAAATAAAGAAATAATAAAAAAAATCTTTTAACTTTAATTTTTTTTTAAATGTTGTCCATTTCATACATATATGGTTCATTTTAGCTGAAAAACATGCTTTAATTTTACATTTGAGATACTTGAAATAAATTATAAATGAACAAAGAATAATGAGAATTGAAAAAAGTTTTAGTAAGAGATGTTTGTACGTAAAAAAAAAACTTTTAATTTTTCTTTTACAATATTGTCCATGTCACACATATATGGTTCACTTTGGCCTCAAAATATGCTTTAATTTTACATTTGAGATATCTGAAATAAATAAAAAATGAAAAAAAGAATAATGTGAATTGAAAATAGTTTCAGTAAGAGATGTTTGTATATTAAAAAATAACTTTTAATTATTCTTTTAAAATATAGTCCATTTCAAACATATACATATGGTTCATTTTAGCCTCAAAACATGCTTTAATTTTACATTTGAGATATCTGAAATAAATAAAAAATGAAAAAAAGAATAATGTGAATTGAAAATAGTTTCAGTAAGAGATGTTTGTATATTAAAAAATAACTTTTAATTATTCTTTTAAAATATAGTCCATTTCAAACATATACATATGGTTCATTTTAGCCTCAAAACATGCTTTAATTTTACATTTGAGATATCTGAAATAAATAAAAAATGAAAAAAAGAATAATGTGAATTGAAAATAGTTTCAGTAAGAGATGTTTGTATATTCTCGATTGTCTGATTATGATTATTACGTACATAAACCAGTATCCGTTCTTCCGAACTTCAGCAGGTTTCCGCGTCTCAAGAGATCCATGTTACAAAGAGACTTTACTGAACAACACTGCTGAACTTTGACCCCTGAAAGCCCCCATGTGGGCCTTCAGCACCACACTTTTGACCCTTTAAGAGGCTCTCATGCAGAGTGTTTTCTGCCCGTGAACACATCGATTTTTCGGCTCAAGTGCGCATTCCTTTTCCAATTTTTACAATAACATCAACAAATTTATAATACACATTATTTCATAATAACAAATGATCATATTTTAGTGTTATATGAATATAGAAGAACCGTGGTTTCTCTCACAGAGTATTTGACGCTGATTCTTCATTATTTAATTTATTTATTTAATAATAGGACAATGCATGTTAATAAAGATATTAGTTTACACATAAATTATATCTGTAATTGGGACGTACTTGGACAAAACAGGCTATAGAATAAACAAAAAGGTTTACGTACCAACAAATTATTTTAGATTAATCTGTCAAACACGTTCAGAGATATTTAAGTAAGTTTTCATTTTTTTGACAACAATGCCAGGTCAAGGTCAAATATTTATTATAAATATTGATAAATCGACCATTCAACTTTGATTTCAGAATGATTTTAGAATTAACTTTTAATTATTCTTTTAAAATATAGTCCATTTCAAACATATACATATGGTTCATTTTAGCCTCAAAACATGCTTTAATTTTACATTTGAGATATCTGAAATAAATAAAAAATGAAAAAAAGAATAATGTGAATTGAAAATAGTTTCAGTAAGAGATGTTTGTATATTAAAAAATAACTTTTAATTATTCTTTTAAAATATAGTCCATTTCAAACATATACATATGGTTCATTTTAGCCTCAAAACATGCTTTAATTTTACATTTGAGATATCTGAAATAAATAAAAAATGAAAAAAAGAATAATGTGAATTGAAAATAGTTTCAGTAAGAGATGTTTGTATATTAAAAAATAACTTTTAATTATTCTTTTAAAATATAGTCCATTTCAAACATATACATATGGTTCATTTTAGCCTCAAAACATGCTTTAATTTTACATTTGAGATATCTGAAATAAATAAAAAATGAAAAAAAGAATAATGTGAATTGAAAATAGTTTCAGTAAGAGATGTTTGTATATTAAAAAATAACTTTTAATTATTCTTTTAAAATATAGTCCATTTCAAACATATACATATGGTTCATTTTAGCCTCAAAACATGCTTTAATTTTACATTTGAGATGTCGGAAATAAATAAAAAATTAACAAAAGAATAATGATAATTGAAAAAAGTTTTAGTAAGAGAATACGTTTGTATTAAAAAAATAACTTTAAATTTTTCTTTTAAGATATTGCCAGTCACACATATATGGCTCACTTTGGCCTCAAAATATGTTTGAATTTTACATTTGAGATATCTGAAATAAATAAAAAAATTAAGAAAAGAATAATTATAATTGAGTAAGAGAATATGTTTGTATTAAAAAATTAACTTTCAATTTTTCAATTTTTCGTTTTCTTTTTTTTCAATTTTTTTTCATTTGAGATATTTGAAATTAAAAAAAAATGAACAAAGAATAATGTGAATTGAAAATAGTTTCAGTAAGAGATGTTTGTATATTCTCGATTGTCTGATTATGATTATTACGTACATAAACCAGTATCCGTTCTTCCGAACTTCAGCAGGTTTCCGCGTCTCAAGAGATCCATGTTACAAAGAGACTTTACTGAACAACACTGCTGAACTTTGACCCCTGAAAGCCCCCATGTGGGCCTTCAGCACCACACTTTTGACCCTTTAAGAGGCTCTCATGCAGAGTGTTTTCTGCCCGTGAACACATCGATTTTTCGGCTCAAGTGCGCATTCCTTTTCCAATTTTTACAATAACATCAACAAATTTATAATACACATTATTTCATAATAACAAATGATCATATTTTAGTGTTATATGAATATAGAAGAACCGTGGTTTCTCTCACAGAGTATTTGACGCTGATTCTTCATTATTTAATTTATTTATTTAATAATAGGACAATGCATGTTAATAAAGATATTAGTTTACACATAAATTATATCTGTAATTGGGACGTACTTGGACAAAACAGGCTATAGAATAAACAAAAAGGTTTACGTACCAACAAATTATTTTAGATTAATCTGTCAAACACGTTCAGAGATATTTAAGTAAGTTTTCATTTTTTTGACAACAATGCCAGGTCAAGGTCAAATATTTATTATAAATATTGATAAATCGACCATTCAACTTTGATTTCAGAATGATTTTAGAATACAGTGTAAATTTGTCCAACAAATTGGGTTATTCCTGTCATGTTGTTGACATAATAACCATATTTGCATAAACAATATTTGTAATGTTTTGTGGTATAGATAGCTGCTAACAGGACCTTCCTAAAATTAAAGAAATTATCTAAAAATGGCAAACTATTACAATTTGGAAGTTGACATATGGTTTAAACAGAAAATATTAGCGCTGTTTTTTTTTTTTTAATGTTAAAAACCAAGCTATGTTAGGACAAAAGACTATTATACCATAAAAAACAAACCAAGTTTGATAATGATAGATTCAGCCATTGTTCTAATTTGTACGTCTATAAAAAGAATCTGATTTTGACCTAAAACAGAAATTTGCCTTTTGTCCATGTCACACATATATGGTTCACTTTGGCCTCAAAATATGCTTTAATTTTACATTTGAGATATCTGAAATAAATAAAAAATGAAAAAAAGAATAATGTGAATTGAAAATAGTTTCAGTAAGAGATGTTTGTATATTAAAAAATAACTTTTAATTATTCTTTTAAAATATAGTCCATTTCAAACATATACATATGGTTCATTTTAGCCTCAAAACATGCTTTAATTTTACATTTGAGATGTCGGAAATAAATAAAAAATTAACAAAAGAATAATGATAATTGAAAAAAGTTTTAGTAAGAGAATACGTTTGTATTAAAAAAATAACTTTAAATTTTTCTTTTAAGATATTGCCAGTCACACATATATGGCTCACTTTGGCCTCAAAATATGTTTGAATTTTACATTTGAGATATCTGAAATAAATAAAAAAATTAAGAAAAGAATAATTATAATTGAGTAAGAGAATATGTTTGTATTAAAAAATTAACTTTCAATTTTTCAATTTTTCGTTTTCTTTTTTTTCAATTTTTTTTCATTTGAGATATTTGAAATTAAAAAAAAATGAACAAAGAATAATGTGAATTGAAAATAGTTTCAGTAAGAGATGTTTGTATATTCTCGATTGTCTGATTATGATTATTACGTACATAAACCAGTATCCGTTCTTCCGAACTTCAGCAGGTTTCCGCGTCTCAAGAGATCCATGTTACAAAGAGACTTTACTGAACAACACTGCTGAACTTTGACCCCTGAAAGCCCCCATGTGGGCCTTCAGCACCACACTTTTGACCCTTTAAGAGGCTCTCATGCAGAGTGTTTTCTGCC